GAAGACAATATTTCTATATCTCTTTATGTGCTACACAAACAGACTTTATAGCAGACTGTTCCTACTGACTCTAATGTCAGAAAGAACAACCAAACTGTAAATTCATTATACATTAAATTGTGTGTAATTTATATAATAACTTATCCATGCCTGTACAATTGGTATGTTCCTGCATAAACAGGAAGAAATATATATATATATACCAAGTGCTCAGGCTCATTGTGTGCCAATTGTGTCATTATCCTGTCACCACGCTGCCGCACGCTCATCCTGGCGTGATTGTTGCTCTTTGCGTTACAGTTGTAGACTTATCTCAAAATCTGAAGTGTACGTTAACACTTTTAAGATAAAAAACTGGGAATATACAAAATCTTCAAAGAGCAGGCTTCAGTGAGATGCGGAGTGATTTAGGTAGATTAGAACTTGTATTAGTGAGCTAAAGACATCGTATTATCCGAGATAAAAATAATTTTCGGACTTGCCTTCGGCTTTCCGGGGAATATTATTCGTTTCCCCACAAGTTTTGCATGCAGATGTCCAAAATTGCCCTGAAACTTTTTATTTTCGGATATATCGTCGAGGATTGCATGTTAATAAGAAAAGAAATTTCGCTAATACAGGTAGATATGAGAACGGTTTTCCGGATATTCCAGTGGTTAGTTAGAAGTGGTCAGAGTGTCTGAAATACAACGGAGCCTTTGAAAATCATATATTGGTTATAGAAACTTTGAACCAAATATGTGGAGTACGTAACAATGTGATTGTACACTTTTTGGTTGTTTGTATAAATTCGAGATATTGTACATAATTTTTGTTTAAAACGCTTCTTGTTGAAGTATAGGTAGCCTGTAGACTGCCGTAGGTCATTTGATCAGCTGATGGATTTTGACGTTATTTTTGCAAAAGACGACAAGGTTAGGTCATTTTTCGTTGTTTCACACACTTTTTTACCTATATTCCTGCTAAAAGTTGATGAAATACGGCGTATTGAGCAGGAATAGGCAATGGTGTTGTTCTTATCCGGCCGTAGCATACAGGCAGTTTACGGTTTGTTGAAAAAACGTACTTTTCTCTTTCAGAATATGTCGAATTACTTGAAGACACATGTTATAACGGCCATATTGTGAATTTTTTTCGCATGTTAGTGGATTACACATGGACATGATGAGGTGGGATAGCTCGTTTAGGTAATTATTTCATTTACTTCGTTGTGTAATTTTCCTAATGCTGACAAGGCTGCTCCATATGTATTTCTTTAAGAAAAGTCTGCATAAATACTTAGAAATTATGTACTCATAGTATTTCCTTATTTTATGGCATAAACTTGACGTTCGCAGGTAGATACAATATCGATTTTGTATTATTGAAAAATGTTTACTGACGTAATTATATATAATTCAACTAATTATTTCGTCATTTCAAGCATATTTAATGGTTAATTATTTCGTTTACACTGATAACAATGTCTACATCTGTATAATTCTTATGTTCTTTTTCAGATAATATCTACTTTCGGGAATTTCATGGATTTGGGTGATAAAGAAAAAGATACCTGCACTGTTGTCGATTTTGTATTACATGTTAATTCATTAATAAATGTATTCCTTGTTATTCGTTTGTTTATTCTACTTGATAAGACCGAATATTAGCCCTTGCGTAATTTGTGAGGTATAGAGTATATGAGGCTATCTTTGAAATACTAAGTAGGAGCAGATATTCGGAGAAGCCTATTGGTTAATGATTATGTTGTAGTCAAATAAAGTAAATATGTCTAAATCGTAGAGGAGGCATTGCGATTATAAAACGCTTCGGGTTATGTATCGTCTTAGCAGAATACATATAATGATTCGCGATTCATAGTCACGAAGTGAGAGTAAATCTACTTGAGATAGTTTGCTTGTGATTTCTGCATGCCGCAGTATACCATAAGGAGAGACTATACCTATGTTGTTAGATGTATAACTCTGTGCAACTACGGTTATCGTAATAATTAAAAACAGAATGCCTACGGTTCTCAGCCATGGGACACGATACGTTGCTATCTGATCATATAATCACATAAACAAAAGTCTTCCGGACGCCGCATTTACTCCTAATAGCTTACCCTCAACTTCTAACTTAGCAAGTGTTACTTATGTTACTGGAACACAATCGCATTACAACAGAAGGAACACAGATTCATTGAAAAATTGTTTATTAAACAAAAATCAGATTTCAAATGTGTATATAATTCAGATGAGTAGTCCTCTGTTACCGTCAGTAAGTTCCATCTGCGTACACGGCACATATATGTTTTTCCATAAGTCTGAAAATGTTTAAGAAAAGCATAATTAACTTGGGTATTAAATGTATGACCTGAATAAAAAAATTGGTGACTCTAAAGAATAGCGGCCCTAACCGAAACGACCTTCGAACAAAAAAGTGACCTTGAGCAAGGAATCAGCTGACTGTATCATTTTCGGAAGTAATCATGGATGTTTTCGATTACTGTTTGGATAGCGGACTCATAGCTTTGTCGAAAATTTGCCAGTGCGGAGGAGTTATGCATATACAAATATAAGCAGAGGCCATCGATGGCTTTGTATACAGATGTATTGAGTGCCGAAGGAGGAAATCGTTTCGAGATGGTTTGTCGTTGTTTTTTAGTTTACAGATCCCTTAGGAACTTGTTTCTCTAGGTCTAAACTACCGTTAACGAAAATCTTAATGATATGTAACTTCTGGGTCCTCAAAAGACCAGTTACAGCTACGGCTTACGAAACAGAAAATTCAGAGGTGTCAGCAGTGCAGTGGTACAATTACTGCAGAGATGTTTCCTCGTGGAAAATGAACAGTCTGACTCAAGTTCTTGGAGGAGTCGGTGTAATCGTACACATTGATGAAACTGTATTGATAAAAAGGAAATATAACCGGGGGAGATTACAATCCAACCAGCAGTGGATATTGGGTATATACGACACAACACTACGAAAAGGGTATATAGAGGCGATTCCAAATCGCAGTGCAGGTGTATTATTGCGTATTATTCAGCGTTTGGTGCTGCCTGGGACGGCTATTCACACAGATGAATGGAGTGCCTACCGTCAATTATCCAATCATGGGTATATTCATCATGTCGTCAATCACACGGAGGGTTTCAGGAATCCTGTGGATGGAACGCACACTAATTCCATCGAAAGTTTATGGAGTCGTCTGAAAAGACGGATAAGAGCTGTTAATGGATCAAGAAATCCAATGATTTACAGTTATCTAGATGAATTTATGTATAGAAACTGGTTTAATATGACAATGAAGACTCCTATGAGAAACTGGGAGGTTTTTTTGCAACATATACGCGAACGTTATCCTTTGTAACTATTTATTATGACTGCATTACTTATATATAAACCGTTTTTTACAATTATGCGCCTTTCATTTTGAGCCTTCTCATTGGTCGAAGTTGTCCCTGTCAAGGTCATTTTTGCGTTGAAAGGTCGTTTCGGTTTGGGCCGCTATTCTTTAGAGTCACCAAAAAATTTTCCTGATAAGCACTTACAAGTAATCACTTTACAAACAATATATATATATAAGTAGCCCAATAGTTTCCACTAAACTCTATTAATTCTCTTCACTCATCTTCTTGTCTACCTCTGTGGGCTATTTGGAACGTGGCAACTCGAACTGCTGCACTTCGGTGCCAAGTTCTATGTTGAATCCAGACAGACAGACAGACTAAACTTAAGGGACTTCGCAATTTACAGTTGGTCGATACCTAGTAGGTCCATCAAAGCATCATGAAATGATAAAACTATTTACCGACAAGTTATGCAGTAGTTTCCAAAGCTTGTACAAATATTTTAGCAAAAATGACAACAACTTTATGACAAATAATAGGTCTTGACAGCAATAATAATAACGTTCATGTTCATAGTGACTATAAAAACAATGACAGAAATTATTATCGCAACGAATTCATCATTAACTTAGGTAGACAACTAATAATATTACAATCATATCAAATAAATGTATCACTTAATCTTAATAAGCATGTGTTTACTTACTTTCACTCTATTCTCTCAATACTGATGTGCTTATTCCAACTGAATCTAAGATTAATTCTGAAAGTGAGTGGAGATCCAGTTTATGTCAAATAAAAACATGTAACTTACATGTATTACACTGCTTACTGAGACACCTGATACCTGCTTTCCGATCTTCGTGACAAGGACACAGTTCATCTAGGTTTACTTACATATACAAAAGTATACGTATATGCTGCATCAACCATGCCGTTTTCATCATGATTAGCCAGACCACTGTGTATATTATACTTATTTAAGGATCTCTGAAAATAATGGTCAAGCGATAATTGAAGTTGCGTGAAGTTATTACCTCTTCAAGACATTGTTTGCATTCTTGACACTCCTGAGAAGTCCTTAGATCATAATTTGGCATGAATTCGTTGAATTCAGCAAATAAATCCACTGCTATATGATTTCTCTCCTGAGCTGTAGTAGTTTGTGTTGTCAGTTATCTATCGAATTCGATAAAACGCTCCTGGAAATTCAGAACTCAACCAATCAGCAAAATGACGTTTGAAATTACCTCAACTCGAATGACAAACTGGCCAATCACAAGCGAGCAAATCGCTTGTTTATCTCATTCGCGGTCACTCAAAATTACGGCCGTCTACAGGCTGCCTGAAATATACATAACTTGCGTTTACAATTGAAAAATACACTCTGCTGTTGGGGACTTCGTCTTCTCCCTGGTTATTTCTGCTTACTTGCTCAACTCACACCGTGTTGTATACTTCGGATTTGATGTAGGAGCCTACTACTCTCAACCGAAGACATTTCTACAACCGGAACACAGCAGCTACAGCAGACGCAGTCCAAACAATTAACGGGCCCGTGGATTATATAATTAATTTGTAGCAGAGGACTTAGACTGTATATCTAAGTAATCCTTTTTGTTGCTATAACTCGTCACTGTATTTTTGGTAATATATTGTGATTTAACACTCCACTGACTTGGATTATTACATTCATATTTGGAATGTTAGTGAACTCTGATATTAGTCTCCTACAAAAGAAAAGAAATTTCGCTAATACAGGTAGATATGAGAACGGTTTTCCGGATATTCCAGTGGTTATTTAGAAGTGGTCAGAGTGTCTGAAATACAACGGAGCCCTTCAAAATCATATATTGGTTATAGAAACTTTGAACCAAATATGACTTTTTGACGATAAACAGAAAGTGGGACTTAAGAATAAGGTACTTTAGGTTTATTTATGGTACTAGTTAAAGGTTACGAATTTCTGACTGGTTTTCAAAAGCAGCATTCCCTTGTTTGATTTCATCCAAGACATTTGCGAGCTTTTATGAAGTCACTAATTGACATGTTGGACTGAGTGTTCATTTTGCACGATCTTGTTCTTTAAAGTGGTATTTTTTATTGTTAACGAGAAAGAAATTATTATTTTGGATATGTAGGTGAAGTTTCAACTGTATGGCCTAGCTTCCTCCCGCTGTCTGCAGATAAATAGACACTGCAGTGTTTGGTCAAAAATGTGATGGAAATTTGTCATAATTTATTTGCATCTATTGTGTGCTCACTTTATAACTAGGTGGGTGTGTATGGGGCTTCCAAGTGTTGTTTTCACTTTGGTGCTTAACCATGTAGAGTGGTGACGTTTGCAGAGTTTGTAGACTCCTTATTGTACATTTGAGGTAGTCAGCTCCATAGGAATATTTGAACTTACATATACATATATTCGATGATTGCGTGTAGGATATTCTATTTCGTCTACCTCTCCGGATTCGCAACAGAAAACAGTCCTGCTTCACATATTTTCCAAACAGTTACCTTGTAAAGTATAATTATATTTCAATGGTTTACACACAAGTTTTCTTATTTGATCCATTTTACTGACATTAAGTCACCTTGCATTTCTGTGACTATCAACTGGCTTCATTGAATAAAATCACACATCGTTTCTGTGGGTGTTGTGATTAGTGATTCTGGTCTCATGTGTTTCCTGATAAGCTGGTCAGTCAGGACAGAAATATTTCTGTGGCATTTCTTATATAAGCCTCTTATAATTGGCCTACTTCTAATACTTTTAATTTTGATTATTGGAATTTCAGTGCCCTAGAATTAAATACACATGGCTGTTGATAAGACTGATTCATATGAATGGACCTGTGAATCGGAAATTCAACTTTTCCGAGGATTAATCAAGCACAAACCCGTTGGTGTATTCCGTCACTTCCAGATGATGTGCTTGTGCAATTTTCTGAATTCAGTTCTTCGTGAACCAGTCACTCCTGATATTATTTGGAGAAAGCTGGATACACTATACAATATGGAAGAACTGGTAATTTCTATCTCTTAAACTATTTAAACGTTTCTGTGAAGCATGAATCTGAAGTTAACCCTTTTCAAGGTAAAATGAGGGAATTCAGCCTATCCGAAGAGTTTGATTCCTTGAAAGAATTGGAGTTTCCTCGTGTTGCTCCGCGAAGCGATACAGCTACACCCAAATCTTCAGTTGTAGGTAAGCTAGCAGCCCAATTTTACAACTAACATTCCAGTTATAACTTTTGTATTTATGTGACAAAACGTCAACGATTCTTCAAGGGATATAAGTATGTACATATATATGACGTAGAAAGATGTGAATTTTCAAGAATGTGAGTTATCATTCTCTTGGGTGAATTTCGTGGACTAGGAGGCAGTTTTGATTGGAATATTTGTAAGACTTCGCAGAAATCACAACAGCATTTTGATCTTTCTATGAAATCAGTTAAGGGACTGATCATGAATACTAGGGAGAGACACTTCTTATGAATACTGTGATGGTTTTGCATTTCCCTGGAAAGTAGTCACTGTCGCCTTTCCTATGTAATTGATGCTATATCGGAGAAACGAGGTCGTGAGGTGCATTCCTGGTGTGTGTGTGTGTGTGTTTTCAGTGGTGGTTATCTAAGCCTAAGTGGGTGTAAACTGGAACTAAAAGCATGACCCACTAATTTGTGTAGTTGGATGTTTTGAGGGGAATCACAATTTGATGGATCTTTAGGTCATAGCAGCATGAAATGTTGTCTCATTGAAGCCACAAACTTACGATGCATATTTAGGCGAAAACGTCGCCTACACCAATAGTGTGCAGCAGAAGACTTCAGTCTGACAACTTAGCTTTACCTCACAATCGGTTGTCTATTTTTACTAGATATACCCATGAGACGAAAACCCGTTGTAATTTGAGGCATTTTCTATACTCTGTTGATGTATGCAAATTATTTTCGTATGAAGTCATACCTCATCTATGATTTTCCCATTTAGATACTTCTAATCGAAAACGAACAAGAAAGTCGGTACGCTGGGCTGACGTTCTTACAACTTCAGATAATATGGTTCAAACACCGACCACTTCAACGGTCACTACCGATGCAGGTGTTGGCAGTTCTTCACGCAAAAGGCGGCGCTGACATTTTGTGTATGCTGGTCGCGAATTCAAACATCTTTGTTGTATCTCATGGATTCAGCATTTTTCATTATATTTGTGTCATACTCAAGTGTTGATTTTTGATTGTTATGCTGCTAAATGCGCAATTTTATGCAGCACTTGTTGTGATTCGTTGGCTAGGAGGCGGAATAATTAAGTATGTTGAATATTTCACTTAATTTGGGGACTTGCATCAGCTCACCTGAAGTGATCACCTAGGAAATCTCAGGATAGATTCAGGATGCATATTTGGTATTTACCAAGTCTCTAGATGTTTGTAGCACCGATCTGTTTAATTGCCCTTTCCACAGTCATTCCAAGGTGTTTTGCAAATTAAATTATTTTGTGTAGTTAGGTCAACTTACAGAGTCCAAGCCACGTAGGAAGGTGTAGACTTCCTGGTTGGGGTCCTCGGGACGACGGTAAAAACCAATGTTTGGAAACAACTAGTGATATGATGGCTCAAAATCGTCCTCAGTGGCGCAGATGCATCCACTCTTTGTGTCTTGTGATTTCCAATGAAACTATATTGTTCTTCGTTATTACTACTCCTTTGTTTCATACCTCTGTTTACTGTCTCTAATATGCATTTCTTCAAGTTTCTTCTCTTAGTTTGTGTGCTACATGGAGTGTGGCGACTTGAACTGCCGCACATATGTGCAAAGTTCTGTGTCGAAAACAGACACATCGTGTGTTGGATTACAAAGAAGCAGTAAGGGCTTAATGGTATTAATTTTCTTAATAAAAACCTTCACATAATTTCTAGGGAAATAGGGTCTAACTTATTTCGATTAGCAGTTGCGTATATCTACGATAGCAATTTGGGTACAATGACTTCGCGGACATATATATGTGTGTTCATAACTGACTCGTAGACAGTGAGGTGGAAGATGAAATACTGAACGAGGTACCTGGTTCACTCTGGATCGTCTTGCATGGAGATGAGTACAAACTCCTCATAGGCTGTGTTTATCGAGCACCACGCTCAACCAAAGAAACTGATGCATTATTAGCTAAGTTTTTTGCACACGCCTCCTCGTTTAGTACTAATTACAAAATAATTGCAGGAGACTTCAATCTTCCAGATATCAATTGGTTGCGTAGTTCTGGCCCCCAACACTTCCATGAATTACTTGCCACCATCGATTTCTATGAATGGCAACAACACGTCCAGACATCTACACGTGGTGACAACATGTTGGACCTTGTGTTTTGTCATGACACAATCCCAGTCTCCACCTATGTTGGTAACAGATTTTCCAGTAGTGACCGTAGAATGGCACTCTGCTCTCTGCCTTTCTCACCACTAAATACAGGAAACAAACAAGATTCAGGGAGCATGATATGCCGTAGTTATAAACCTACAGACACACTGGGGGCCAGTCGAAGAACTGATTCGACTCTGTCAATGGGATGACTATTTTACTACTGACTGCCTGGAGGTTTTAGTGTCCCTATTTTACAGGAGTGTTTCCCTTTGTCTGGTCACTGTTGCTTCTGAGAAGGTAGTGAAATTGAGTAGGCACCAAGCTGAATACATTCCAAGGGCACACCGAAATAAGCTAAGGAAGTTGATTAAACAGAACTATTCCACTGAGGATATATCACTACTGTACCCAATCCACGAGTCGCTTGAATCTGTCAAGCATCTACGCTCTCAAAAGGACCTTGACGAAGAGTTAAGTGCACTCAAAAGTACCTCCAAAGTTTATAACCTCACAATACTTCTTAAAAAACGAATGCGGTCACTACTTGTCGTAAAGTACGTGAGCTAGTCGTTGTTCTCTACTTCGATAAATCTAGGGCATTTGACATGGTGTTTCATAGTATTCTCTCTGAGAAGCTGTACTCATGTGGGATTCGCAATCCATTACCTAACTGGTTAGGGTCATTTCCAAACAACAGGGTGCAAATAACCAAAGTCGAATCCGTATTGTCTCATCCTAGGCAGATCACAAGTGGGGTTGTGCAGGGTAGTGTCCTAGGACCACTTCTATTTGCAGTCTACATTAACAGGATTTGTGACTGCTTCGCCTCAGCCAAACTATTCGTATATGCTGACGACCTCGAAGCCGTTTACTCTTGCTACAGTCATGAATTAAACGATGTGGTAAGTAAGTAATGAAACATCTTGAACTAAGTAGTCTCGCAACGTGGTGTGCTGAATTTTGTCTAGAGTTTAACATTGACAAATGCGGCTAGGGCTGGATTTGTATCGGAAACAGTAACCTTGACCTAACTCTTCAGGTAAATGGGCGAAAACTAGCCAAGCTCAACTCAATCGTAGATCTCGGTATCAGATACCCCAGTCATTTAACATTCTCTGAGCAAACTGATTATGCCAGACGTAAAACACGAAGGCTTCTAGGACGCATAACTCGCAATCGCTTTCGTCGTCAAACTAGGGTCTTATCATACAAAGTATGTGTCCGACGTATTTTAGAATACTGCCCGTTTACTCTTAGCGGACTGCGACAGAATGACTAGCTTGAGTTAGACGGAGTGCAACGGGATTTTCCTCAACAACTCTTGGTTTACATTGTAGTCTCGAGTACTCTGAGCGTAGCGACAGACTGAGAATAGAACCACTCTGGAAAAGACATCTTAAGCTAAACCCTGCGTTCTACTGTAACGTCAGAGGACAAGGCCCATGCACACATCGTTTATTGGGAAAATCAAGAGGTATTTACAGAATTTCGTGTGCATTATTTTTAGCGTTATCATTAGAGGAGGATCGACCTCTCCTGATTGGTAGTTTAATTTCTGAATTTTATCGTGTTCTCAAATATCAAGCCATATATCTGTGAATCATATTTCCACACATTAACTCCGGTGTGATTGGCTGGTGATTTTCTCAAGGTTAAGCTTTTTTATTGTTTGCCTCGTGACCCTGACTCGGGATGTGAACACTGGCGTAAATTGTTGTCTACAATTTTAGCTTGCAGACAGGTCTTACCACACTACTCCGATTTAACTAATCTTCTCTTGCACTCCTCCAGGCCAATAACTAAGTCTACCGCTGTCATCAGTTTCAATCTTAGAAATCATGACAACCTAGTTGCTATAGAGCATGCAGTACAACTTCTTCTTAAATAAGTTTTCGGTCATTTGGAATAGACTACCAGCTAATGTGCGTGATGCAAACACACTCTCAGTATTGATCTCCTCGATCACCAGACTGCTCAAAGATCACAATGCTCTCCTGCGTCTGGTTCCTACACCCTCTTTTTCACCCTGTATAGATATTATAAGTTCATTCGACGTATAAGTCACAACAAACTACAATTATAAATGTTAATATTATTGGAACTAGATGATAAACATTTCTACACAGGCCATTAATATTAGTTCACACATAATATAAAAGTTAGCATGACAGGACTAGTTAGTTAGTGTACCAACGTTATCATGGTTTCTACACAGAATATATATATAAGCATGTACATAAATGTATAAGTCACTCCTCGAGTACTCCACTTGCTTTCTTCTGTTCTGCTGTCGCTTGCCTTCTTTGTCCGCTTTCACCATTTTATCTTCTATGTGGCTTTTTGAACAAGAGTGAAGAATGTAGACATTTGACCACTTAAAATGACAAATGATCTGCAAACATTACTGGTCCCATGTCCTACAACTGCCTTGTGAATTATCCATTACCTTCCTCCGCGACGCATCCCGGATGACAGATGTGCAATATTACCTAAAAACGAATGAAAAATCCAAATAACTACCTGTCCCGCGCCAATAAATCTGGTTATTTAAGAAATAATCAGCACACACTGATGGTTGCATTTGAAATCTGACTGACTCGCGTGATGATAATTTCCAGCTCCTACACGCTCCAATTGTCATCATGCATAGATTGATTCTCCATTATTGTGGTTCCTGGCCGCATATGGACTGAAAATTGCCTATTGCTGCCACAACACTACTTTGTATGCTTAACTGGACACTTACTGCTGTGTTTCCCATGGCGTTCATCTTTTCCCGAAATAACTTCTAATAACGTGGCGGAATAGCACTCACTCAAATATACCCGGTTCACTGGTTGACCATAACTACCAGCATGAAACGGAAAGAAGTTTGGCCTGTCGCTCAACTTTGATGGCAAAAGGTTTACAATTAGACATTTATAAGAACCTGTTCTGATCGCTCGTTCCATTGTGGAACAATTTCAACTTTTGGAAAAGTATTAATTTATCATACTTCACGATTGTAATTTATAACGTAACTGATCGTGCCTGTAAAAATGACATACATTTTGATTTTGTTTTGATTTACAGCTTGATTCCACGCTGGATTTTTGGTACAAGTATGGAATTTTCAGCATGGATATCGGTAGCCCAAATTTTGCAGGCCGACCATAGATATCAGGTGTCAGCCGGCGTGGGCTCGAACCTCGGACCATGTGCATGGTCAGCGAGACTCCTAACCACTGTGCCACCGACATTTCTTGTAAACACCCGTTTATACGAAATATAAACATGATTATTATCAAATTGCTGGTACTATTCGGGCTACATGGAACTTGGAGTGATGTACGTGTCTTGTCAGCCAGGGCACCCATGCTATTCTCACGCTTATTACGCTTTCCCACTGTTGCAAACTGATCAGTTTGTTTTCAAGTGGAATCTGAGCAGAAACGAAACAGGTAAACGCACAAATATTATATCGAGTGGAAATACAGACTAATACAGACACTATAGGCACGGTATGGAATTTTACTGTTTATAAATAAACAATGAATAGACAAATGTAATAAATCATGAAATACAGACTATGTAGAATCGAATTGTCCTGTGAATTGACCCTGACATATATTGGCCACAAAGTAATGAACTCTGTAGCTTCCTTTTGTGCTAGGTCGTTCTTTAGTTGCAAAACGTAGGATAAGCCTTGCGAAAATGTGAAACCCAACTTGATAACCGGCGGTGAAATATCTGGAAGCTGGCGTAGCAGCCAGAGAAAGTTATATATGAGCAGTTGTATAATATCCACTACAATATTCCGGAAATCGGTAAGAATATATCCACGCGCGTTAAGTGAAGTATTATTAATGTGCCACTTTTGAATACA